AATCACAAATGATGCACGACATTGATCCAAAAATTGAAAATTGCAAAATTCACTTATGCCATAGATGAAAGTGTAAATATTATGTGTCGTCAAATCACACACATTGATTATAAGCATAAAATGCTAAGAGTCACGCTAACTACGATGTCCCTACATTGGTGATTAATGATGGTGCACAATCAAAGGATTTCAAGCACCAACCATGAAGAGAAATAAGTATAGATGATTCAAAAGTTACGTTGAACTACAAAGAAAAAGGAGAAAGAATGCTCTAACTAGAATCCAATCACAAATCCAACATGTGGAGGTACATATATCAATCTATTTACGAATAAATTATCAATTTCTACATTCTTATTAATCATATGGTTTATATTTGGTCAAGATTTAAGGAATACTAGCCCACTCTTTTTGAAATCCTTAACATACATTGTTGAGCACCTTTATCTTATCATCTTTCTCACAGTTTCAATAATCCATTTAGTTTTACTACATTATTGATTGTAAGTTCTTTAAACTTAGAAATACAATTTTCAAAATTTTCTTACTTCATTGTATAAATTTTGGTGAAGTTATGTTTTTCTTTTTAAGAACTTTTGGATGATACAACTCATCGAATCCTTGATCAACCAACCTTAACTTAAATTCATTTTGTACCTTGTTGGTTTTGTTCACTTTGGCTATATTTCTATAATCATGTAAATGTTGTAAAATTTTCTTATGTATTTATTTTGTTTGTTTAACAAGTTGAGTTTTTTGCATTATTTACTTAAAGTCATCATAATTCGCTTAAGTGCACCATGTTTCGCTTAAGCCTTTTCACAAAAAATTAATGGACATTAGTCTCTGGACAATATTTGTTTAAACTAAACTAGACGTGCTTAAGCAATTCAATATTTATTTAGGTCATTTTGACTTGCTTTAGCCAATTTATCAGTCTGAAATGACATACTCTTTGTCCATTTTTCACTTAAAATAAAGAAGGTTCACTTAAACTATTTTAATTTTACTTAAGCGAATGAAATTTAGCTTAAGTGAATATGAAGTCAATAATGATATGTTCTTTGTTTATTTTTTGCATAAGCATGAAATATATTTGCCTAAGTGAGTCAATATTTACTTAAGTCAGTTTTTTTGGCTCCTTTTTCAGCTTTTTTTGTAAAATTCGCTCTATTCTCACACAAGGAGTTTAAGCCCAAAATGGCCGGAGTAAGTTTAAGCAAAAATTGAAAAATACACTTAAACAAATAAACAAATAAAGAACTGAACATCCAGTTCTGTATAAACTAAAACAGCATATTCATATCCCAATCCTTGATGTGTCATGTTTTTGCCAATTTCCTCACTACTCTATTAATTTAGTGTATAATTACTCGTTTTGATATTTACAACTATGCACATAGTTATATTAATCTATTATATCTCAATTTGAACAATCTTGTGACATTTTTGTTTTGGTCAATATAGAATAAAGTTCATAAAAATGTATGTCAATATATTTTATGTGCTTATATATAATACGTTATGCTTCACTTTGGCCTGGAGATTTTATTTGGTAAACACATGGACTTAAATAATAATTTGAAAAATATTAATAATACATTCTTTAATATATTTTTAATATAATTTTAATTATTAATTTAAATTTATTTAAAATTTATGTGACTCATTTTTAGTTTAATAATTCTTTCTTCTAATTTAATAAGTTTTTTATACTTGTATAATTTTTAACAAAAGTTAGTTCATAAATAAAAGTGTGGAATAAAAAATGTGTTAAAAAGCATGTTAGCATATATTCCTAAAACAATTTTTTTACCTTCAGCTGAAATCTAGCAATGCCAAATAAGAACATAAGGGCTCGTTAATTTTAAAAAATTAAAATGATTATTAGTTCAATGATTAAGTGTCAGACAACATTATCAATTGTTTCCAGAAGATACTAACTATATTTTATCAAACTTATTGCTCGCCTTGATGTTGGAGAAAGCAATCTCTTCAATACTAAACGGTTTTATTCACTAAGAGGAGTAAGAAGAGAAAAAAAAAAAAGAAAGGAAAAAGAAAAACGCAACTTAAAAAGAAAAAAAAACATAATGAATCAACCTTACATTAGCATAAATGAGAAAATTTAGCCCTCAAAGTAGAAAAGAAACAGTGATCACTTGCAGTTTGGAAGAGGGTACCCACATAAGCACTTATTATGAACGTAGGAATACACATCATGATCATGGCTATTCACATTGTCACCCTTTGGAATCTCACCAGACAGTCTATTAAAGCTCACGTTCAATAATAACACATTTTCTATTCCTAAAGGGAGGTTCCCATAGATTTGATTGTGACTCACATCCACCATTGAAATTATCTTAGGCAGCTCCACTTTGCCAAAATCAAATGCAAACGAGTTCCAAGAAAGGTCTATTGCTGCTGTCACTTTGGTGGACCCAAAAAGCATGAAAGCATCCCCTTCTAACTTCTTATGTGACAGATAGATAGATGACAAATTCAATTTTGCAAAAGACAATGAGATTCTCCCAGAGAGTTGGTTATGAGAGAGGAATAAACTTTGGTGGTTCTTGTTATTGAAGAACCCATATGAGGGATTGGGCCTATTAATTTGTTTTTGCTGAAGAAGATTCCTGTGAGATTGGGCAATTGGCAGAGAGATTGAGGGAGTGTCCCTGAGAGGTTGTTAAAGGAGAGGTCCAAGTTAACGAGGCTTTTGAGTTGGGCCACAAAGTTGGGTATTGGGCCTGATATGTTAGTTTCACTAATGCTAAGGTATTTGAGGTTGGTGAGTTTGAATATAGGCTGAGGAATTGGGCCAATGAGGTTTGGTAAATGGAAGAGGAATAAGGTTTCCAAGTGAGGAAGGTTACTAATAGAGGGTGGAATATGAGAGGTAAGTTGGTTGTTATATGAGAGCTTCAAAGAGTCAATACGGTCGTTTTGGGGTGGCAATGGATACCATGCCACTTGTTGTGGCAGCAATCAGTGTTTGGTTTCCATGAAGAAAGAAGAGTTGGGTTGTTGAATTCTTTCTTAATTTGGAGAAGGATTTTTTTATCTTCTGGATTGCATTGCCTTTCATACAGAGAAGATGCAATATTTGAGAGCAAGAGGAACAACGTGGTTATCATTGGCCTTGTTATTTTTTATTTGGATTTTGAGTTTGGTTTGATTAGAAAATGGGAAAGTGGCTTTTATATATATAGCTATTAGCTTGGAACAAAACATTAAGGTGAAAAGATATTGCAAGCTATCCATGTAAGAACTTTGTGTGGGCAGGGTCAAACTCGATCTGAATGATGCGATAGCATTTGACACTAAATGGTGGATTAATTTATGTTCTATGGGCCATTTCAAGTTGAAACAAAGTTGAAATCTATGACTTTGTTTTAGTTAGTCAACACAGTTTCTTTGACTTCAAGGACTATCTAAAGCTTATCCTGTCCTCAAACTCCAAATTTTTATTTTTGCTTACTACAATTTTCCTTTACTAAATACTTTCATGCCGACTTTATTCTTCTTTTTCTTTAAATTATTTTCATCGTTTCAAGGTATTTTTGGAATAAAACATAATAAGTTACATGCACAAAAGTTATAAAGGTCCAAATTACATTGCATCAACTAAGGAGAGTATTTTTATTTGGAGGTTTGCAAAAATAATAGAATTTGCGTTATTATGTCTTATTGTTATTACAAACTTTTGATTTTCATCATGTTTACAATCCAATTACCCAACTTATCTTTAATTTTATTGTTTTTTCGATATGGTATATGATTTTTCATAACTTAGTGTTGCATCTACAAAGGGTTGAATCTTTTTTTCGCTGGGTTTTTTTTTTTTTTTTTTGTCTTCTATTTCTATTACTTTTTCCATCTTTATATAAATTATCCTTGCATTATCCTGTTGATTTTCATCTACTCTATTTATTCAGAATGACTTGAGTAGAAGTTGGTGTTTTTTATTTTAAAAAATTTAAAGAAAATACTTTGGAAAGTTTCACCAAATAGGATTAAATTTATTTTCTAGCTCATTACTATATGAATTTTACGCTTTCTCAATTGTTATTTATTATAATTATTTTGTTTTATATGTCTAATCTTATAATCAATGAGATGTGTGCTATAATATAATTTAGGAGAAAGAATGTGATTTATTTAATAATTATACTGATTAAATGTGATTCTCTACTTTGGAAAACTAATCAAAATCACGTTTTAATATAAAAACAGTAACGTGTAGCGTTAAAATAGATCCATGTCTAAAATAGATTTGTAACTAGCCTAAACACACACCATTATATTTGTAAACACATTAGCTTAGCATCTTAGATTATAAACAGTTTTAAGACCAAAAAACAAAAAAAAATCCTTAGTGGCTTGGGTTGGGGAGTTCCTTATTCGGTTCTTGTCAATATGCCCCTCATTTATATACATATAATGAAGAATATATAAATTCTCAACCTCTAAGTTAAAACTGGGTGATTTCATAAGGTAACAGATGTAGTTTATGTAAAGTAATACTAATGTGATTTATGTTATTTTCAGTAATTTGACGATTTAAAGAAGGGCAAGCGATTGAAAGTCTTCAATAGTCAAATGTGATTGAGCTGTCTAAAAGAAAATTATATATTTCAGCAACATACCTCAACTTAAATGCATGGACCCTAGAATATAATAGAAATAGGAATGTATATTGGATACTTATGCTTGGGTCGCAAATCGCGAGTAGTTTATCGAACTTCCCCTAGCGTTTGACCCTTGGCATTTTTACATCTAAAGCTGAGGTCATTGAAATTAATATATATCAATGAGCTCATACACCTGTTTTGGACCACTTGCAAGTTCATACACTGCATGTAAAGGCATTATGGTAGCCACCACATGCAATATCTTTCCAATTTGACATCCTATTAGTTTTAACTATAAAAGCCAAGGCTTTTCTCTAACCATTTTACTCGCCTCAAACTCATGACCCATTAAAAAAAATCGCTATGGAAATCGTGTTGTTTCACCTATTCATATTGGTCTCTCATGCTGCAACTTCCCTCTCAGAAGAAAAATGCAACCCACAGGACAAAAGAGTCCTTCTCCAAATCAAAAAAGACCTCAACAACCCAACCTTTCTATCCTCTTGGAGCCCACACACTGATTGCTGCAACTTCAATTGGAATGGTGTGAGTTGCAAACCCCACACCAACCGTGTCCACTCTATTACCCTTGTAAACGAAGACCACCCCTTTCAAATTCCACCATCCATAGGTAACCTACCTTACCTTGAAAACCTGTTTCTTTATGTGTTCCCAAACCTCACTGGCCCAATCCCTGAGGCCATTTCCAAGCTCACCAAGCTCAGTTCCCTCACACTCAGCTCAACCCAAATATCAGGACCAATACCCAATTTCTTGGCCGAACTCAAAAGCCTAAGTTACTTGGATCTCTCCTTCAACGAACTCTCTGGGACACTCCCTCCTTCTCTCTCCTATTTGCATGATCTCACAACCATTGACTTTGACAACAACATGCTTACAGGACCAATCCCGGACTCATATGGTTCCCTCAAGAAAATACTCACTTTGACCCTCCAACACAACCATCTTTCTGGAACAATCCCAGTGTCGTTGGCAAAGTTGAAAAACTTGTACTTTATTAACTTGTCTCAAAACAGGCTCGAAGGTGATGCATCCGTGCTTTTTGGGTCCACCAAAGGGATAGCTACCATTCACCTTTCAAGGAACTTGCTGGCCTTTGACCTGGGAAAAATTGAGTTGCCTAAGAACCTAACAACATTGGATGTGAGTCACAATCGAATCTATGGGAATCTCCCTGTAGGATTACAAAATTTGCAGTTGTTGAATGTAAGCTACAATATGCTTTGTGGTGAGATTCCCCAAGGTGGCAATTTGCAGAGCTTTGACGTGTCTTCATTTTTTCACAATAAGTGCTTGTGTGGGTCTCCGCTGCCAAGCTGCAAGTGATGACTTTTCCATATAAAGGGACATAATGCTCTAGTTAATTTATACTCTGGAGCGGATGATATAAAAGCATGTGCCTTTTTTCAATTCACGCGTGGTTTTATTGGCCAAGAGCGACACTATTGGAAGTAATTGATCTGTTTGTTTCTTGTACGGATTTTGGAAGGTAATGTTTGTTTAATTGCTGCATTTATAAAATTTTCTTTTAACATGAAATTGTTCAAATAAAAGTACATCTATTCTTAATTTTAGTAAGCTGAGATTATTACATCAAAGATCAAGCTCGCTTTTTTAAAAAAAACACGGATTCTTTACATTAATGATTTTAGAAGCATTACAAAAGCCGAAAAGAAAAAAAAAATGAGTAGATGAAATTTAACATATAAGCCAATCCATAACTTACATAAAACAAGAAAATTAAACTACTATCGGACTGACATGTAAGAAAATTTATAAAACAAGCGTAGGTGTTTTTATTAAGCTTTACTTTAATCAACAAATATGTGATAAATAACATTAAAAAAGAAAAACGTGTTGTACGAAGTTATTCCAAATGGTTACGGTTACAGACAGGAGAATACATATAGTGATAGTAAAACATCCGAAAACAAAATTGCATTACCATAGCCTCAATTGGACACAAATCTTGACCTCCAAAAATTTGTTCGTACCATGCCAAAATAATATATACGCGATTGATCAATTACTGCAACAATTTCAAATCTTCGAAACTAGAATAAGTTTAGAATAGAAGCACCTTATGTCTAAATTTTGGCTGTGTCCATTCTCCCCATCATTCATCAACCTGAATACTAGACATGGGCATCTCAGAGTTGACTTGTTCATCAACATCATCCTCCTCACTCTTGCTCTCTTCAGCATCCATTGTGGCTCCCTTTTGGAAATAATCAACTTTAAAGTCATAATCATCATCCATGGGATCCGATGAGGCTAAAGCTTTGTTAGCCTTTTTCCTTCTCTTCTTCTCTGCTCGCCTCAGTTTTGTATTAAGCATACCATCAGCAGCATATAATTTTTCATTCTGCTTACTTGCTGCACTGTTCCCCTTGTTCTTACTAACATCATCATCATCATCATCATCATCATATTCCATAGATTCATCAGCATCATTCTCAGCCATGTTTCCAGGACCTTGACCTTGTTCAGATGGTTTAATTTGTGTGTCATCCTAAAAAATCAGTTTGTGAAAGAATGTTTTAATAAGTAAATCATATACTGAAACTGAGTTTATGATTGAGATCAACACTGGTACGTTCCCTAGACATTTTTGCCTAATATCAATGTTTTCAAAACAGTAACATAAAAAACAGACCTCTATCATCTTCTCATCAAGATTGAAAGGGCGACTTGAAGGAACTTCAACAGGATTAAAGTCATCAGCAGATTTGAGGCTCCCAATAAATGAAGTATCATTTTTGTAGACTTCATCAATGTTAAACTCTTTTGAAAATTCAGAAACTATCTTCGCCTCTGAAGGTTCCCCTTGATCCCTAACTGGAGGCATGGTATAATATGGAATCTTACCTGAAACATACAAGTAGATATTTCACTTGATTTGTAATATTATTAAGTTCATCCTAATTTTAACTTCAAAAGAAATGTTCCAGTGTCTCTCCATTTATGCAATAACAAGCTCACGCATGCATACCCTCATTCCAATCATGGAGAACAATCCTCGCAGCAGCATCAATATCAACTATTCCACCCTTCTTGAGCTTGCCCCTAACTGTAGCTACCACCTGTAGGAAGTCATCAACTGTATCGAAACTCGGGATCTTATAAAGTGTTACCAGCAGCCTGGCCGGACAGAGCTTGAGAATTTCCTTCACTGCATTGTCAAGGATAAAGAAAAAGAATATGAATTTCTATTTAGAGTCAGTATAGCCTAAAATACAGGAATCAACATAAAGATTTTCCATTAATATTAGAACTGTTTCGTGCAAACTTTAAAGCATTTGACAATTGACTTCAATATATATCAAACTTTAATTTATATCTAGAAGTAGGCAACCAGATAAATTACTTTTTAAAAAGATAACAATAAAGCATATCCAATGGTACAGGCATAGAAAGATCCGATGTTCTACTTCAACATCAATCGGTGATTTTTTAATACCTAATAGAACTCAATATTTTATAACTAGGGTAAGTGGTAAGAATTGATGAACGAGAACACTCATCACCAACTTTATGACCCTTGCAGGACAAACCAGACATCAAAATATATAGTGTACGGACTTTGACCATCTACCCCATCATTTATTAACACAATAAACAAAGTTGGAAAACAGAAAATTTTAATATGCAAATAACTGAAACCTAAAGATAAAATAACAAAGGAAGATGATAAATAGAAGAAATAAGACAAATAGGGTGGATGAGAAAAATAATATTTATGCATATGATTATTCTCCCTCCATGAAGAAGAAGAAGAATCTTCATGCTGACAATGACCAAAATGTACCATGAACAAAAAGAAACGATAGGGCTGTCTTCCACAATAAAATTCAAGTCAAAATTGCATACCATACAAGAGGAAGGAAATAAGTTGCTGAGATTTGAATTTATAAATGAAAAAGTAATTGTATTTGAGAGAGGAATGTGCATATGATAAGAGCTTCACCAAAACAGATAATAAAACAACAATACGAAACAACACCAATCAGCAATGAGTAAAACACTAAAGAAAGCAACAACATAATCATATCTCATAACAAGTTTAAGAACAAAAAATACCTTCATATACATGGACTAATAGCAGTCTCATTTTCTACCATCCATTTTCAATTGCATTACTACAATATATATAACTAAATAAACAGAATAAGGGAAAGAAAAGCTTTCACATACCTGGGCTAACTGGATCATCTAACTTCTCAATTCTCTTGCAATTTTTTAAAGCAATGGAAGCATCATTTTCTTGAGACTTCAGCATAACAACACCAGGGCAATCCAGCAACTTGACGTTTTTGTCCAATTGAACCTCTTGCATTGATCTTGTTAACCCAGGAGTAGCACCAACATTGACAACATGGCATCTCTTTAAGCTATTAATAAGACTACTCTTGCCAACATTGGGCAGGCCAATCAAACCCACGGTGATTGACTTCTTGATCTGTAAAGAAATGGATGCAAAACAAATGAAGATTGATAATGAATGGTCTAAAATCAAATAGACATTACATAAATAACAAAACAATTAACAGATAAGCACCAAAAATTATAACACTAGAGGAGAAGCTACATGAATAAGGGGCAAAAGAAAAATAGTCAAATGAAAATCCCCAATGGATAGCAATGAAAGAAAGCCCATACAGACGTTCTAACTTAAAAGCTTCAAATTAAATTTAGTTTTACTACAAGATTAAATCCAGTACAGAGGAACCTGAAGGGTGTCCTATGCATGCGTCCATGAAGAAACAAACAAATGAAAACATATTGAATAACTAAGAACTAATTTTCAAAAGAACAAACATAATAAGACAGAAGTGAGAGAACAAAAATTAAAACAATTCATATAGGTCCTACAACTCTCCTATTTTATATACTATCATAGGCACAATCTCCTAAAACGTTGCATGCTCTTTAACTTGGATATGAGAATTAATTGGACAGTAAACAATAACGACAACAATCAAGCCTTATCTCACTAGGGAGACTGAATGATAAAAATAACTATAATTGTGCAGGATATCTATTTTCAAAAGTTTCTGATTTTGTATTTGATAATCTTGATTTGAACCATATGCGTATTATGTCAAATTGTCAATATTCAAGTTCACAATTTCACCAGAGATATCCTAAGTTAAAACAAGAGCTGGATAAATTAGCATGACAGGAAATCGATAAAAGAAAGGCTAAGATATAGGATATGTATCTGGTATGTGCATGCACAAGATCTGATATGGCTCTCAGATCTTCTAACCTATCTCAACAAGAGATCCTACACATACAAACAAACACACAAAAAAAGAAGAATACAGAAAAGCTACACAATCTCTGCATATCTCAGATAATAACTTCATGGAGGAAGCCATAAGCAGCACAATTCAGACAACCAAAATTGTAACTCTATCCAACATCACAGGGACTTAATTCAACACATTTTCATTATGACATTGTAACTTTAAAAGCTGCTATCACTGTTGTTCAACCACAACAAGAGTGCAAGCGTAATTCAAGTTCAACCACATTCAAGCAATTCCGATACCTCGTGACTTCTTGAGTAATTCTTCAACAATTTGAGGAGAGTATCAGCTCCAAGACAATCACTCAATTGCAAAGTATTACTTGATTTGGCTGCCTTAGAAGACTTCCATCCTAAGTTTGACCGTTGTTGTTGTGTGCTGCACTTGAAGGCCACAGTAGGCAATTCTTCTCTAAGGTACTTGAGCCACTTTTCCACGGCTTCTCGAGGCACAAGATCTATTTTTAAGCACACAAACAAACAGCTAATGTTAAGAACTACAAAAACAATCCCAAAAGGAAAGAAAAAAACTGATCGTCAGCAAAGTTACCAATTTTATTTAAAAGCAATACAAGATGCTTATCAGGTCCCGATTTCATCACCATCTTTTCTATATCGACACAACGAGTACCCAAAGGATCCCGGGCATCAAGGACCTCCAAAATCACATCAGACGCTTCAATCACCTTAACCAAATCCTTGTAAAAAGCCCTATCCGAGCTATCTACATTGTATAAAAAAAAAAAAAAACAAATATGAGAAAAGCAATGACTTGAATGAAATTTTAAGCCAAAATACAAAAAAATAAACACCTCTAGTTTTCGCAACAGTTGCAAAATCATTACTATCCTTCAGAGACTTCGGTTCGCCCAATTTGGGATCTTCCTCTTCATCTAGCAAGCCCAATTTCCTTTTTCGAGCCTGAAACAAGCGTTAAGGAAAGTAAAATATCAAATTTATTTATTTAGTAGGGAAGAGAAAACGTATATTTACCCTTTCTTTGCGTTCAGCTTTCTTTTGCTCTAATTCCTGAATAGCTTGGGCTCTGCGAGCTTCAAGGGCTTTAAGTTCCTGTTCCTTAAAGGGCCAATCATTGGGAATACCAGGATCTTTCTCTACCTTCTTCTTTCCACTTAATTGAAGCTTTTTTGCTTCTTTGGTCTTTTTTCTGTTGTGCTCTCTCACCTTCCTTATGATTTTGTACTTCTTCTTCAGAGGAACCCTCTTACTCTTACTCTCTGTACCATCATAACAACAACAACAACAACAACAAAAAAGGGTTATAAAACGACGGCGACGTTTAGGATCGAAAGAAGAACGGGATTTGCTTACTCTTGCTCCTCTTCACCATCTTGTGTTAGAAAGAGAAGAAGAGAGGACCAGAAGGGATTGCTGCTACGGAGAGGGATTGCTGCTACAGAGAGAGGCGTGAGTGGTTTAGGCCTTAGGGTTTTAACAATAACCAGCTCTATGGTACAGTTATATTTTATAATATTTATAATTATAAGGATTTGTTTAACTTGCCTAATATTGCACAAAATAATAAATTATATATGATAAATTTTTATAAAAATATAACATTAATATTTTTAATTCAATAATTTTTAATAAAAAATTATTATTATGTACAATATTATATAAATTAAATTTTTTATTTTAATAACCGAGATTTATGTGACTATTAAATTATTTTTTAATAAAAATGAAAATATATTAAATAATTTATAAATTAAAATTTTAAATATTTTATTGTTAATCAAAAATATTTATTATTTTAAATTAATAAATATTTTTATATAATATTAAATGTAATTAAATTAAAAAGTTTAACCTTTTTTGAAATTAAGATTGAATTTAATTTTGTAATATAATGTGCAAGATTTAAAATTTAAATTAAGATTGATTACTACTATAAATTTTAATTTTATTTTCTGTAATAACAGAATTTTTATTTTATTTTATTACTGTAGATAAAGATAAACAAAACATTACATCAAATTTGAAAAAAAAAAATTCAGGTAAAACTATATTGGATTGGAATCCTGTTGAATGAGGTCATGAACAGGTGTTGAAGCTGAGTTATTTAGGGTTTAGGGTTTATGTAAAATTAGATTAAGTAAATTTAATTTGTTTAAGCAAATTTGATGTGATTTTATGTGATATTTCTTTGATTTGCTTAAGTGAAATTTAATTTATTTAAGTAAATTTTAACTGAATCGACATTTTTATGCAAAAATTAAGAAGATTTGAATCCTTAAATATCAATCTTGTTTCTACATATATTAATGATAGAAGGAGTGAGGCTAAGCTTCATATTCCATAGTATTTTTCACTCCAAACTTTGTCATAAGGTCCATATACTATTTTTTTAAGTACAATAAAAAAATATGATTGAAAAAAAATAATTTCCTTATTATTTTAAATATAATATAAATATTTATATTCACTCTCTTTATTATTAATCAGAATAGGTGAATAATTTGTATTTTACTTTCTTCTTTTTTATTTTAAGTGATTTAAATATAATTTTTTTTCACTCTTTTAATTTATTTTTTCTCTATTTTTTTTATCCCTATTTCACTCTTTGTTCAAATAAAACCTTAAAAACTAAGAAAAGCTTGTTAGTTATTATTCTTCATAAATAAAGTTATTAAGATTAAAAAGTATTATTATCCGTAGGAAGGGGTTTTGACAATTATGTGAAGGGTCATATCCCAAGTTATGTGTGTAGTTTCTTTTTTAACATCCCATTATTAGAAAAGAATAAAAAGAAATGGTGTATAAAGGGTTGGCAAATTAAAGAACTAAAGCATTTCTACTCCAAATAACTTTTCATTGAGTATGTTTTGATCTAATTCTTTTATTTATTCTTCTGCTGATTTGTCATAAAATAATTTATTACATGACTATTATTATAATTTCTCTTTCACTATCAACAAATACAAACTTTTCCAACTTCACTTAAAAATAAATTTTGATTTTTGTTTTTTCTTTAAAAGAAGTTGATTTTGTTCTAACAAAGACCATTTGGGAGAATGAAATGGGTAACATGCCCACAGGTAAATTGTCATAATTTCTAAGAGGAAGCATTCTCTTTACAGCTCAATTATTACAAGTATCTCATCATTATTCCTTAAAAAATTTGGAACATTAATTTAAGCCCTCAAAGATTTAGAAGTTATCACATTAGTTTTTTAAAAATTTTATCACCAAATCAATCCTTATAGTAAATTATAGCGGTGACAAAAAAAAACATCAAAATTTCAAATAATTTTTGTGACAAATTAAAATTTTTAAATCGCATTTGGATGGAACAATAAAAGATTTTAAAAATTTTGAAAAATTAAGAAATTTAAATTATATCATTTTAACTTCTATTAAGTTAAAATGAAACCTTTTATTCCGATATCAAGTTATGCCTTTTTCCAAGAGCTCAAACCTCCGTGCAGGATTGACTATAGTTCTAATCTTTCATGTGGGTATAAAGCTTTTGTTACCCTAATTAAAATAACTCCCAAACTTCACGTATATTGTGCATCCAGAAGAGAGAACGAGAGCAAGAAGGGGTATTTATTGAAATTTGAGATAGTTTTTGAATTTTTACTGTTTTATTAGAATTTAAAATTCTTTTTTTTGTCTATTAAAATTACTCACTAAAATTTTTAATTTTTAAATTCTTTGAATTTAAATATCTAATAAAAATATTTTAACCTATAAAGTCATAATTTCTTTAAAAAAAATTATTCACTTGAAATATTTCATCTAAACATACTTAAGTAGCAATATAAATGAACCGAATTTAGGGTTTTAGGGTTTATTTATGAAAAAATTATCAAATTAATCTTTGAACATTAAAATCTATCTAACAAACTAATTTTTATGTAAAGGGATATGAGTTAACATAAATAAAGTTCTTCATGTAAAAATTAATGTGACATAAAAATGTAAGTTTATAAAAAAGAATTTTGTTCAAACTTAAATATTTATATTTTTTTAATAATTTTTATAGAATATAATATTAATAATTTAATTGTTGGTTTAAAAGTTCTTATTCAATAAATTAACTTTATAAAATATTATTTTAAAATAAAAATTAATTTTTAAATAACATATAAGCATCTTGCATCCTATAATATGTTATTAAGATATTAAAATATGTTTCATATTGATGTTTACTTATTACTTCTCTCTCATCTCCCTTATCATCACTGAGATAATTTTTACTTCTCTTTCCCTTTCATCTCAAAAGGATCTGTTTGTTGAATTACCCCTGGTTACATCCCATAACCAATAACTCATCATCTTCAGACCACAATCAAGTAGATTGTTTGCAACTTTAGTTTGTCACTCAAAGGGTAAGTAGAACTCTCCGGGACCCTTTATATGCCCTATCTTATATCTAGCCATTCCAAATATAAGAGATGGTTGTCGATTTGGCTAGATAAAATCCTCTTGAAGGGAATAAAATTAATGGTTATCGATTTTTTTATTTTTTTTTTATCTCTCAATGCAACTTGAAGGTTAGAAGAACTTCTAAAATTGGGCATCTCCAGTGGAATATCAAGGAATAATTTTTCATAAAAATATGTAATTCAAGCAAATTCCATAAGGCCGACTTTTGGTGTCGTAGCTCACAAAAAGTAGTGTGCCATATTACATAATAATAAGAGATTTGTTCAAATTGACATCACCAATTGTGCATTTTCTAATCACATTTGCATGGATTAATTTAGTTAGCCTCAACTAAGCAATGTAATCGAGTTAGGTCTAATTATGTCAAGAACCATTCAATGAAACATGTCTTAAGTCCTCTTGGTTGTCTATTCTCAAGAAGACATATAATGGAACTCGAGGAAATCACAATGTCTCATATTTCATCAAACACCTTTCAAGTATCATTTTAATAACACAATTCGTCATACATGCCCAACAACGTAGCTCTAATGACATACCCACACTAAACTCGGATTTAACTTTCTTTTCATAACTTTCCAGTGCCAAACTAGAAGTTTCTGTGCTATGGAGGTCGAGGAAGCATCGATCCTATAACGAAATTATTTTTGTCATGTGACTAATGCACATGTAGATTAATCAATTGAGGTTAAGAGTGTGATTTTTCACCATTCTCACTATTAATTTCTTCAATCTAAATCAAAGACAATTACAAGTATGCAATCAAATTAATTAAAATAATGTTAAATCATTTTAACATGAAATTATAACTCGTAGCGTTGAAATAGATTCTTGTTTAACTGAAATTGACAAAAATTCAAACACACCGTTAATTGTACTCAATTTACGAAGCAAGTTGGGTGATAACTTTTTTTTTTTGGGGTCAATCGATTCCATGAATTTGCAACATTTTTCCAAACTAATGAAGGTCAAATGATATTACTACTTCCCCCTTTTTACAAAGAAAAATTAATGCCGAAAAAATTGGCATGCCATCGTGACATTCTGCCTCTTCCCTTTACAATAACAATTCAAAAACATCAACTGTGTGACATAACATTATCATAATCCTCATCATCAGTGTCCTCACCATTATTGATTCCATCGGAATTATAATGTAAATCATCCTCATCACTATAATCAATTTCATGATCAGCAGCGTCTGTTTCACTGTTGACATCAAGAACATGATGCGAGGTCCAATCAGGAGGAAAGGTCTTTTGTAGGGCTTCAGTTAGTTCCCCTCCTGTCCTCTCAATCTTGCGTAAACATCTTGACCAATGAACCGCAGTTCCCATGTCAACAGTCAACTCAGACTGTATCATCTCTCTACATATAGACAAGAGGCCACTATAAACGTATGATTGAGCAAAGGTGGCTCTTGATAGCAAAGATGTCATAAGACAATGGTACACTGCTTTGTCTGGTTTCAATCCAGCTACTTTCATCTCTTCAAAGCACCTCAAAGCCTTCTCAGGCATAGAAGCTCGTGCCCAACCATTTATTAGTGTGGTGTAGGTTTTGAGGTTTGGTTTTATACCTGATGCTTCCATTTCTTGAATAATCTTTGTTGCTTTCTGACAGGAAGATGAAAAAATCCGATTAACCGGTTATATAAATACTTTACCATGATTAAAAAAAAAAAATCCTAAAATCTACTATTCAAAACCATTCTCTGAGGAAATTTAAAACTCAGACGTTGAGTCAATTATACCCTTACTTTTAGTCCACAATAAGTAACCACAAACTTGATAATTAATTATATTTCTCAACTAACACCATACCTGCATATCCCCAGCTTTACAACAAGCATTTATATAAGAAGTGTACGTATGAATGTCTGGTTGAACTCCTTCCTCTCTCATTTGTTGCATCAGGTCTGCAGCCTCCCAAACATCACCTCTCCGAGCCCAACTAAGAAATTAAACTAGGTTACTAAAATATAGAGCAGATTGTGAAACCATTAATGGAAAAAAAATAATAAAGTGAACATTTTTAGTTTAATTCTGTCAGATGTTTCTAATTCATACCCATCAATTAGTATGTTATAGACAAAAGTGTTTCTTGGAATCTTTTTTGCACTCATTTCTTTTGTGACTGCTAGGGCACTCTGCATTCTGCCTGACTTGCAACATGCCTTCAACAGTGCTTCATAGGTATAGACATCAATCTCCAGGCCTTCATTCTTCAATACTGTGAAGTACTGAAAGGCCTTCTCTGTATCACCCAGTGAAGCATAACCTTGCATAAGAGTTGTATATGTATGTTGATTTGGGCTAACGCCTGCCAGATTCATTTCATCCAATATTGCTACAGCCTTTTCCATCTACAAGAAATGCAACATAATTTATGAAATGTGACATTATGTGTGAGGAGATCAAGATGCATAACTAGAACAAAAGATTTAACAGCAACATCCCTCTATATCTAACAGCTTGAAATTCATTTGTACCAGTAAAATTTCAATCTGAGAAGTGTTAAATATCAAAGAAAACAGAATAGTTTCCGAGAGGATGAAGTGAAACTCAGGCATCACAATCAGGCTCCTGTAGGCATCACAGCTAGGGTTGGATTATACCACATCTCCAAGAAAGCAGTTTGTTTGTCCCACTAGGTGGGTTCAGTAAAACAAACCAATTAATGCCACAAGACTCTATTAGGAACCAATGTTTTTATTAAGAAATTTGGGCTTAATTCACTGTCAATAGCTAGCTCATAGGAAGAGGACTACGCAAGCCCTTATGAGGAGTATTCTAGTTCTATTATTAACCAATGTGAAACATCTTAACATCCCCTTCATGCTCACGATTGAACATCTATTGCGCGAAGTTTGCAGGTTTGAATATATGTGGGCAGCCAAAAGCTAACTCATAGGAGGATGACTACCCAAATGCTTATGAGAAGTATTTTGACTCTTTCTAGTCAAAATGAGACATTTAGCACTCGTGTAGCTTGTCCTGATTGAATCAGGAAAATCCTTTAAGAATTAAGACTTTATACTCCTATTCAATGCATATCATAACAAATGAAGACTAAATTACACCTAAATAACTATATGACAAAACTTAGGTATGATTGCTTGCCTCTTCATCCTCAGATTCTCTAATCAATAATTTGTGTTTAGAGTTTTGACAATTCATCTTAATCACTGAGAAATCCCTTCAGCATTTGTGATTATCAATGATTATTTCCCCAATGCTTTCAAGAATGCAGCACTGTTGGAAGTTTATAACAGTAAGAAGCAATGGAAGCTAGGGATGCATTCCATAGTTGTGTGAATTTTAACTTCATAGCAATCAATTGAATTGGAAAGCCTCCAACTCCCAAAATTTCAAGAAATTATTTTTTGAAAATAAAAATAAAAATCAAGTGTATTAAGATTCGCTTCTTGGGATATGGCTTTGTTGTTGTATCAAAATCCACTTTTAAACAGCAATTGCAATATGACTACAATACTTTTTATTCAATTTACTGCAGTTAGCTTTTTAGGTATTTGCTTTTACTTCAAGTTCAAATGGATAAACACATAATAAAGATAAGGAAAAGTAAGAAACAGATCAAGTCATTTGCACACTTCAATTAACAATTGTCAACCACAGGTTACCTGACACTTCTCAACAAGGCCAAGAATAAGAGCATTGTACGTGTGTACAGTGGGAATGCACCCACTCCTCCTCATCATATCAAAAATCTCCAGGGCTCTCCTCATCTCTCCAGATCTTGCAAAACCGTGTATAATGGGCAAAAATGTGCGTGTAGTAGGTCTATGCCTCTCCTTCTGCATTTGCTTCACAATACAAATGGCACGATCCATATTACCCATCCCGCAAAAAGCTGTTACAATGTTATTGTAGAGTACTACATCAGGCTTCAGACCATCTTTAGTAATGTCTTCAAAAATGGAGAATGCATTGGCCCAATCTTTTAACTTCAGGAATCCATTTATCAGCATAGAATACGTCTTCATGTTATGTTTAATGCCAGCCATTTTCATCATTTTGCTAATCTCCAATGCTTTCGAAACTTTTCCTATCTGAAAAGGATTAAGTTTTAAAAAAAAGGTGTCAACAAGCCAGAATTACTGGTGGAACATACATTTGTTTGCCAGACCAAAATTAATGTCCCCATGTTTGAAAATGATGTAGCCAAATTAAGCAATAACAAGCATTTACAATAAAATGTGAAGGAAGGATCAAATCATATCACAAGCAACAAGAGAGATCTTTTGGTTTAAATGAAAGAAAGATTAGTGAGTTAATCTGCCTCATTATTTCATCTTCTCTCTTTGAGATTCTGGCTGACTGGGTTTCTCTTAATTTCATCTGTTCAGGTTCTGGGTTCATATAGGTTCTTCTGAGCTCTTAATTTCGTATCTTAAGGTTTTTATATTGGGAATTGTTGTGACACGAGTTTTATGCATTTTCAAATAAATTTTATTTAAATTTAGTGATGATTTTAAGGTTATTTTCCTTATTTATGTTATTTTTATGCATATTTATGAATGTGTGTGGTAATGGTCAGTTCATGGAAGATTGGGCGATAAGAATAGAAGCAATATGCAAAGTGACTTGATTATTGCAGATAAGCATCATCTGTGACATTGTTACAAACTTCAACTGCTGAAGCAGATGTTGTCAAAACCATAGCCCTCAACTTCTGCAAATTGACCTCACAACAATCATGGCCCAGCCCAGCTAACTACCTAGCTCATCAGCTGCTTAAGTTTTTAAAGGGAATAAGCATTATTAAGGAAATCTGCTGAACATCAACATCAACAGAAAATAAAGAGTAGTAGTATGTAATTAAAGTTGAGGAAAGAGAAATAAAATGGCACAGGATTAAGACTTGACCAAACTTATACCACCCAATAACCTTTCCTAAAATATAATCTTTGCGAGGAGAGCCATTGAGTTGTAACTATCCATTGTCTCAAATTTTCACATCATGTGTTAAAAAAAATTGAACATCAACAATAATGTAATCAAATATTTAATATTTTCATATATTTGAAATTTATATTAATATGAATGGAGTTTAAATAGAGTGAATTGTATTGGTATGATTTACATGATGGGAACTTGATCAAATGTTTGCAAGAAAACCAGGCTGTAACTGCTGTAAGAGACAAGCAAAATTGATAACATAAATGGCCAAATTAATGTAAAGCATGAAATATCTTACCTTTGTGTAAAGATTAATAAGACAACCATATGTGATAACTGAGGGAGAAAAACCACATTCCTTCATCAAAACAAAAAAATGTCAAGTGTTATTCAATGTTAAGTGTAGTAATGCACAACAGTTTTAGATACACATCAAATATATCAAGGTGACTGACTATGCACGTAATATAACATGTGCTAAATTAACAAAAAATTCAAACAAGAATAGAGACTCCTGTCAAAAGTAAAACATAAACATGATTCAGTTCATTTTATCACCTTTTTTCATTTTAAAAAATACAAATATTACACAAATACTATTAAAATATGCATAGTGGGAAAGATGAGTTTTCTAGGCAAGGAAGTTGGAAATGTTAAAAAATTAATCTCTAATGAGTCAGTTCAAAAATAGCTTGAATTGTTTTAATCAACATCTAGCAGCTGGAAGAAAACACAAACATCACAATAAAGGAGCTAAGAAGCCCAAGGGGGCCAAGAACACGGCAAACCATACCAAACAGAAAACTCTGAAACAAACATTACAAAGCATGGGAAAGCAATTCAAAAAAGGAGCAAAAGCATAGTAACCCGCCATGGAATAATCTAATTCATGGCAAACAAACAAGTTGAAGACAAATAGATAGGAGAGCAACCAAACTAAGGGATCACAAAAAGCCAAATACACTGCCAAGCAGGGCAAAAAGGAGTGACTGAAATAACCCAAGTAAATGGTTGGGGAACATGCAGAAAATGGGGAGTTGAGCTTATCAATGACGGTTGCTAGCAAAGGCAACTGAAGATGAGCCATAACACGCTGACATGGAAACCAGTTACTGGAGAGTGGAAGTGCATGGCTGGGAGGTTCCCAGTGAGACTTCAGGTCCTAAAAGATCATTGAGTGGATTCCATAAAGGTTGGGAAACGGATATGACAGCAGCAGTGAGAAGAAAATCAAGCAAGTATAAATACAATCACTAATATTAGCTTGAAAAGTACATTGCAGCTGTGGGTAGAAGAAAAAGATTCCAATTGCCAAAGTCAAAACATAATCATTGAGGAGTCCCGGGACAAATATACCATGGAAGAGTTCTAGATTTTTGGGAACTCATCAGTGGATTAAGATGAACAATAGCACTCAAATAACAAAATGAAATTATTGATAAAAGTAGCCGGGGATAGGGGGTAGGATATTATTCATGTAATAATACAAGATGTATTGAAATATATGATACAAATCAGTAACCTAAGACATCTATTTATACAAATATTCCCGGTTCAGAACTTGGAATCGATTATACAGAACGACAGAAAAATTAATGAAAATATTACTGACAGAATACAAGCTAAAAGGTTAAAGTAGAGAAAGATATCAAGAATTATTTATGACCGTAAAGTACCCATACAACCAACTATTTTATATGATAGTGAATAATGGACCTTATAGGAACAACACAAAAAAAAAGTGGGAGTGTCAAAAATGAAAATGCTAGGGTGAATGAGTGGGTACACAAGAAACAAGATACGAAATAATAATATATGAAAAAATATTAGAGTAATACCTATAATGGAAAAGATGACTAAAAATCATCTAAGATAGTTTAGTTATGTGTAGAGAAGACATTTGGAGACACCCGTAAGGAGAATGAATTGCATGACTCTTAGTTCAGTAAAAAGTGGTCGAGTGAGACCCAAAAGAACCATAAATGAAGTTATTAAAAAAGACATTTTGATTAATCAGATTTCTAAAAATTTAATTTTTACAACCAAGCTCAATAACGTCGTATGATCATGTAGCCGATTTCACCTAGTGGAATAAGGCTTAGTTGTTGTTGTAGCATTCTTGGTTGGGAACTAATCTAGTACAGCTAGAGCATGCCTAACTAAGACATCTAACATTAACATTTTCATAGCACATGCCTAAGACATATATTTATACTTCATTTATTACTTGAGAATAGGTACATTTGCTGGCTATTGCAAAAAAGAGACAAGTATAAACATCACTCAAAAGGGAAGAAACCCAATAGGCAATAACTAGAGAAGGTAAAATTTAATGAGATTGTTGAAAAAGTTTAGATGAATTTACAGCAAAATAAACTATCATGTTTTGGATAAGAAAACCAGCTGGAAAATTCAAATTATGATGCAAAATTCAAGAGTAAATTTAGCATACAGGCAGAAAGCTGGTAACAAAGTTTTGTTTCAAAGATAATCCTACATACAATTTGGAATCTTTACGTTAGAAATTTATGCTAATGTCCTCTTTTGGTCATTTATGGAGTGGGTCATTTTCTTTTAAAATATATAACTGATGACAGCACATATCAGATCAAAACTACAAAGCCAATAAAAATAGTAATAATAATAAATAAGGCATTATGAAACTTTTAATCCCTGTAATTTGGACTCTCTAATTTTGGTTTCCCCAGTTTTTTTTACCCAATTAAATCCCTCAAATTTTAAAACTACACAAATTTGCTCCTTCTATTGATTTCATCTCCCTTAAACCCTCAAATTCTCATTTTTTACCCAAATATTTGGGGTTTATGATGGATTTGAGATATCAAAAATTTCAGAAGTTCAAAAGTAAAGTTTAGAGAAAATCCAATAAACTTTGAAGAATTTTTCATGATGTGAGATTAGGGTTTTGAAGAGGATCAAAATTAAGGTTTTTATTTGGGTGAAATTTGATGTTTTGGTTGCCTGTTGTTTTGAGCAGACAAAACTTTAAAACAATTTATTTGATTCAAAAATTTGAAGTTTTTTAGTAGAATGAGAGAATTAAAGGTTTTACATAGAAAAAAAAATTGACAGAAGGACCAAAGTTGCCTAATTTTAGAAGTAGAAAGATTTAATTGACTTGGAAAAATTGGGAGACCAAAATTGCACACATTCCAGAGTAAAAAGGACCTATGCAATTAAGCCCAACAACAAGAAGTCAACAACCTATGAAAAAGCTATACCTTAAGTCTTTCAAACACAATCAAGCATTTATCTTCATTACCAATCATTGTATAACCATCCATCATGGTATGATACATGTCGATGGGAGCATCTATCCCTTGTTCTTCCATCTCCCTCACCAAGGCTTCAGCTCGATCCATATTGCAAGTTTGACTGTAAAACACGTCAGGATATGAAAAGCAAGAAGCAAGAGGGACAGAGGAAGAAAATTGAAAAGAAATGACAATCATTTGCACATCAAAAAAATAAATGGGAGACTTTCAGAAACAAAAAACTGTGTTACAATAATCACCAAGATATAAACATGTACCACATTACTTACTAATTGGGTGGTTGATGCACCTAATTTTTAACCTAATATTAATTTGATTAACGACTTCCATGGTAAATGTTTTCACCTTCATTCATAAACCCTGTCGCTTAAATTAGTTTTTCTTCCACAGTTAAAACTATGCAAACATACGCAACATTAAAGATTACACCAAGGAAAAGAAGGAAGGGAAACAAGCAAATTTGGAAGATACTTCTCCATTTAGTAATAATCCACCTACAACATATGACAATTGAAGGTTTTGTATCATACAAATAAAAATGAACCCATACAAAAAATATGAATGCTCACCAGTGCGCATAAATTATGCTCCCATAAATGACTGCATTTAAAGATGGAAGCCTCTCTTTTGCCTCCTTAAACCAGTGATCTGCAGCACTTCCAAAACAACATCAAATAGTTATCTCCATGACACAGAACTGATGATTCAATTTTTACTCATTTATGAACAGGCCCTCAAATTATTTCCTTAAATCAAACTAGATCAAAACTTTCACATCAGCTCCAGTAAAAATGAAAGTGTGAGCAGGGTTATTGAGGCGTGAAAAACAAGAACAAATCAGAAATTCTAAGTTCATCCAAATATCCAATCACTTAATAAGAGAAAAACACCAAACCCAACCACAGCAGTACACTTCAGACTTTGGAGGTTAGGTCTTGAGAAGACCAATTGAACTTCACAGTAACCAATGCAACTATATAGTTTACCATGTTTTTATGAAAAAAGAGAATAGAAAAGCTAACAAAGTGAGGTAGTTATTAATGGTATCTGACCTGGGTAATTAACTTTCACAATTAAAGGATACAGGTCTACGGCTTCTTTATAATCTGGGAAAAAAAGGCATGCTACTTCTAAAGTTCTGTGACAATCAGTAGCTGGGATTTAATTTGGCTTTAATCTACAATCAGTTTTGAAAGTTTTGTTTATTTTTTGGGTCCAGCTTCTCCGTTATGTAATAAAAAAAAGTATTTTCTTTCATTTATATAACCCTTAAATCTTCATATCCAATTTTAGGAGAAAATAGGAGCATATAACTATCCTCCAAATATTCACCCTAGTGCATTGAACTGGAACTAAAAAGAAAATCGAGGACTAGCCACACAAGAATTGAACAAGAATCTTGGCATATTTCATTTTTTTCCCCTTTGGCATATGATATGAAAGCTCTATAACCAAGCGGTCCAAATTCAATCCTTGCTGGCTACATTCTTACGAAATTTTTGTTAAATTTTCAGCACAAGTGAAGTTGGCATGGACATCAGACAAATATCAAGCCCAAAGGACTCTTGCACAAGAGGTAAGTAATGGGGCAAGTTAGAGAAAAAGTCATTCATATACTTTCACCAAATGGGTCAAGCATTTAGGAGAATTGGTATGTGACCAAAACAGAAAAAGAAATTAAAAAACTCACAGGTAGAAACATATTTCCAATAAAATAAAACAATAATGGGGGAAATTTGTCTGGTTTACTTACTCAGCGTTGCCCATTCTAGCAAATCCACCTACAATTATACTGTATGTCACTATAGTCATTTCAATGCCCTCTTCCTTCATCTTTCTAACACAATGTAAAGCTTCTTCCATGTCTCGACCAACTGCATAAGCATGAATAAGACTGCAAACATTTAACATATATTAATTATTGAAGGAAGAATAACCACAGTGCTTTATCATTTTTATAAAAGAAATTTAATTTGAAGAAAAGAAAGATTGCAAAAAGATGGGATACAATATTCTCCTTAAATCAAATATAACATGAAAAAGGATACAAAATACAGAAATACTTTGCAAGTTGCAATCCCTATCAATATATACCAACCAATCCCTAAGGAATGTTAAAAACCCTCATTTTGTGTGGTTGATCTGAGGAAAAATTGTAGGGGATCATGGCCCCAAGTGGCAAGAAGACTAGCATGAGCTGGGGTAACTAACTGCCAGCATTGCCAGGAGGGAAATTCTGTTGTACACTACAGAGAAATGATATAAGTGATTATAGTGAAAACTTTGTAGTCTGTGTGATGATCTGATCCTGTTCTTATCTATCAGAATCCTTGAGTCACCAAAGAAAGTATAAGCATGACAAAGTACATCAACACAAGTTCAAAAGGAGTGAGAAGAAAGAAAGTAAAAATTCACACAGAACTTCTTTTGGCCCTGAAAATTTTGAAATTGCTGAAACAAAGTTAAATCATTTTTTTATCTTTCCGAATCAACAATATTCAACTTTGCATATAAAAATCAACTCATTCACATGGTCACCTATGAAAAGATTGCACATGCCAATCAAATGCGGCCTCAGCTTAAGGGCTAAAAACAATTTCAGCTGATGTTAAAATTATATCACAGCTTTACTACAGAAGATCTTGTTTAAAGAATTTACCTACTGTACACATGTGAAGATGGCTCTATTCCTCTTGCCCGCATACTCTCAAATGTTTGACGTGCATGATGCATGTCCCCTCGCCTCGCATAATATTTAACCATCAAGCCATATTCTTTTCTAGCAGGCTGAAAAATTTAAAAGGTATTATTACAATTTTTCATAGGAAAAGTCTTTTTCAGTTATTATGATGTAAACATGAATTTTTAACTAATGACAACAAAAGTAGCATCTACAATTACTCCCTTATCTCAGTGATTTACATTTCACATGAGCTTTGGGATAAACACATATTGATGCATATATTAGTGTATAAGAAATTTGACAAAGCAGACTGGTATAACCAAAGAAAATCAAGGAACCTATTATCTATCTGGTCTAGTTACAGAGCCAGGGTCTTATTACCGTTGTTCTAATTTATCTTTCCAGTGAAAGAAGATGAAATTTGTTCCTATTTATCTGTTCCTGTAGAAGTTCAAGACATTATCAATTGCTATTTTTTTCACTAATACCCTTTTTTCCATGTAGACATTCTAAGTATAATAAACAAAGCATTTACACTACTTGAGCAACCCCAAGGTCAAAAAAGATCCACTAATAGAAGGTATATTATGAAGTTTACCAAATAATTTAAACAAAATGATTGGATTTCTTGCTCTATGTACTTTATTCTCTCTTTGGACAGATATATAGGAATGGAGGTAGTATCATCTCTTCAACAACCACATCCACCCTCAACAAGAAAAATACAAAATAACTCACAATATATATTGATCACTAATGGCACAACTGAAGCCATAGTTCAGGCTTAAAACTTTCAGGTTTTCAGGAAACAATTCTTATGCTTTAAAATCACAAATTTATTTGATGTCTAGGGTCAAACACCTTATGCCACACTCATTTGTCATTCTAGCTTCAAATTTTATTTTCAGTTGTTATAACTGCCCCCCTATTTTAAAACAACCTTTGGCAATGTCTCACTGCCTCACTGGTTAACCCTCATTAGTTTGACGCAGATGGTGAAAAATTTCACACATGATGAATATTTCAAATAAAACTCATCATGTAACAATTAAGGCTATGCCAAACTAATCTTTACAATTGTTAGAGCATCTAGTGGGAGTTGTTTAAAATTAAGCAACTATTGCACAACGAGTTGCAGGGTTGAAGTTGTTCATATAGAAGAGAAAAAGAGGATTGCGTTAAAAATTGCTAATAGAAGCAACTATATCAGAAAATGAGATCCACACACATATATATAATTTTAAAGCTAGAGAAAAATAAGCAACTCCTCTGGTTGCATGGTTAAGATGCTCTAAGAAACATAGAAGTTAGAACCACATACACAACTAGTAACTTTTCTGCTAAGAATTCACACTAGGAACCTTCTAACTAATTTACTATGTTATATTATGTCATCTCATGTCCTATGATTTTTAAAATTCATCTTATCGCCATGTCCTTGTATCCATGTCTCATGTCATATCTATGCTTCCTTCTTAGACAGCAGCCTTTGTACTATAAAAATTACACTAAACCTTTGTACTATAAAAATTACACTAACTTATTACTCTCATAAGCTCTTTTTAGCTTATTTCAATAAGCTTTTTGGTATAACCTTAACTTATTCTAATAAGTTCTATGGTTAAATTTACAGCATAACCTTCTAGCTAACGTAAAAAGCTATTAGACCGTGTCTATTGCCAATCTACAAATGCACAAGCACCAATTGAAGTTAAGATGATCAACCTTCTTAATTCTCTCGAAAGAGCTAACAACGGCCTGCCAATTCTCTGGCTCAGTTTCCAGAACCTTCTGGAACACCTTCCTGGCACCATCCCTCTCCTCGTGCCACGTGGAATGGTACTCTACCTTATCTCCACTCCCTTCCAACCACCTCGCCCTCTCCTCCGACTTCTCCCTCAACCTCTTCCCGTCGTCCAGCTTCACCGTCAACACTCTCCCGTGGAACTCCACGCCGTCGAACTCCACCGCCCTTGTCGCCGCCTTCTCCGCCGTTTCCTCGTCGCCTTCGTATATGATGAATCCAAACCCCGCGTTCCTCTCCGTGTCGTGGTGGCCCTTTATCAGAATCACACTCTTAATTGGCCCAAATTGCCGAAAGAACTCGCTCAACTCGTTCTTCTTAATCCACCCTGGCAGGTTCCCGACGAAGATTTTCCCCGGTTGCCGGAAATCTTTTCGGTTATCGGAGTTCACCTCTTCCTTGGCGGATTCGGGTTCGGGTTCCAATTCGAATTCTCGTTCTACTTCAGGTGGTGGTGGTGGTGGAGGAGGAGGAGGAGGAGGAGAGAGTTTGCTTGTGAGCCATAGTTTGTTGGTGAGGGGGTTTGAGTTTGGAGAGGGCTTATTAGGGTTTGAGGAGAGAGGGGTTGCGGTGGTTTTGTGGGGTTTTGAGGGGCGGCGAGGGGTGGCGGAGTTGTTGGATTCTGGGGGCGGTTTAAGAGAGAAGTATACGGTGGTGGCGGCGGAAGAAAGGTGGTGTTTGGGGGAGAAGAGGGTGGTGTTGGTGGGTATGGACAAGTGTGAGGTTGAGAATGAGAAAGGTTCCATTGTTATCGTTTATGGTCTTCTGTTTTGTCGCAGCACAATCTGAACCTCGTCACTCTCTCCACTGCTAACGGGTAACTTACAATGTCCATATTATACACTAAGAGCCTAGCTGTAGCCCAAGATATTTTTCAGAAATTTCTATTACCTTTCTTATCTACCACTTGCTACTCCTGTAAGAAAATAAAAGTATTTTAATCAAATTACTTAAATAAAATTAATAATATATATTAATATACTATAATTTTTATTTATATCTTTTATTTATTTTTATTACATTATTAATCATATTGTTTTTTTATTCTTTTTTCTACTTGTCTTTCTCTTTCTTTTCGTTATTACTTTTAAAAAATGCAATAATTATTTTTTTTATTTTCACAAGTACACTAGTGACATTCATTTAGAAAACTTATGTAATGTTATCTGTTAAATGAGTTAACCAATTTTATTTGAACAAATATATAAAATTGATAAAAAAAAGAGAGAAAATATATTATTTGTAATGTGTACACATAGTTTCTTATAAGTCATCACTGTTAATAATTGACTACCACCCTTAAAGCTTTATTTAAGATTTTAAAGGAAGAAAGAATAAAGTAATTTAAAAAGGTACAGAAGAAAAATTAATATAAAATTTTTTAAATTAAAAAACTTCAAAACATGATATTGTGAAAGTTATATATATATATATATATATATATATATATATATATATAAATTCTCTCAATTTTTATCTAAAAACTCAAAATAATAATTTTAAAATTGTCTAAAATATTTTTAAAAAGTGAGTCTTTCAAATTTGTAGTTTAAATGCTTCTCAATGTTGAATTGGATCCATGTTCTAATTAAAATGTAAGTTTTAACTAACTCAAAACTAGTTAGAAGTGATAAATCTTAAGTCATTGATTAAGCGTAAATGTCCATTGGTATCTTTTCAAGGAATTTGATTGAATTTGTTCTCAATAATCACTAGATGATCATTTTAGAGTACTCTTTTTGTTGATAAATGCTCTTGTTATATTGATAGTCTTTGACATCAAGAACTTAAGTATTGTATATGATAGTAGTCCGATCCTTTAAAATAAAGGTGTAACTGAGGCAATATAGTTGGTAATAATTTTTTGTAAACAAAACATTACATGTTTCCATTTTTGTGTTGACCTAGAATAAATAAAACAATAAGATGCCAAAATAAAGATTATTCATTCGCAATTTATATTTTGGTGGATCTAGAATTTTGATTTTTATATAGTGTATATTATTCTTGATGAGATTGTTTTATTTTGGAAATTTTGAAAATAATGAGTTAATGGTCAATACAATATGACAAGCATGGTTATATTATTTACAAAAACTTTAAAATATGTTTGGATGACATATGAAATCAAAAGGAAAGAAAAAAGAAATAATAATTAATGTGAGAAATAAAGTTAAAATAAAATAAAAGATATATTTTATTTGGACAAATAGAAATAAGAGAGAAGAAAGTAAAGATGAAACATTTCTATTATTAATAATAGTTCTATTTCTATTTCATTAATCATTCTGTATTAATTTATTTGTTACTAATCAATATTATGTATATCTAAAATTTTCAAACTAATTTTTTTAAATAAAAACATATTGATATTATACATTAGTATAGTATCAGATTTTAAAATATTTTACATATCTTCTAAATTGTTCTAATTATTCAAATATAATAAAAAATAAGATAAAATAAAATTTACAAAGAAGTCTTATAGCACGCATAACATATATAGTAGTTTCGTAAATAACTTGTCCTTTTCTACTCCTTAAGCCTACCAAAAGAAGGATAATTATTATACTTAGTGAAAAGTAATAAAGAGTTTTAAAATAAATTCTTAAAATATCATTTCAATTACTAAGCATTTCTTAATTTCATTATTTAAACTTAAAGGATGCGAAAGTAGATAAAATAAATATTTGAATATGAGACTTAATTAAAGAAAAATTAAAATAACACAACTTCTAACAATAAATTTAATCAATAAGAACTTAGGAGTTTCACATTTACACTCCTCTATGTTCACTTTTAGATTATTTCAAATTATGGTTTTCTTATGATTGTCAACCACTCATACTAAATCTATTAACACCCAATGATCATGCAATATTAACAGTCTTTTCTATAAATTACTACCATCAACAATCATGCAAGGTAAAAAAAAGAAAAAACATAAAGAGTCTACAAGTTGTTAATTTAACAACGATTGAAAAAGAAGAACTAATTTTAGTCTACCTAATTCTTTGTCTCATTTTATTATATGGATCTATTAACTATATATGGTACGACCACCTACAGTATTATTAATTATGGTATATTCAAGAATTGTCAATTCTGACATACAAATATAGCACAATAGGATAAACATCAATCAAGAATAAAAACATGAAATTATCATAAATTATAAAAATTTCATAGAGTCATGAAAAAATCCACCATAGCCTTAGCTATAAATTTAGTTAGACATAATATAAAATAAAATTAAAACAATACTAAACAAATCCATAGAACTCGAAAAGCAAATGCAAACTAGAGAAGTTTCCAATGAAGAAGAAACGAAAAGAGTTCTTAATCCAAGATTCATTTCCAAAGCTCCAATAGTTGTCAGTGAATAGCCAACACTAAGATTGGAGATGTGAAAGATATGTGTAAAAAGTGTAGAAGAAATGTTATCAAAAGGATGTCTCAAAAAGTCGCTGCCTAAGGTCTCTTTAATAGAGTTTGAAAATCCTGAAATTGCTTTAGATTTAAACTTTCCATAGGTGAGCACAACCGTTTATATCTTCCAACATGCCCATGTAGGTTGAGAAGCATGGTCGTGCATGTCATGAAGCATGGTCGTACTTGCTTACAAATTTAACTAAATTTATCTAATTTTTTTCATAATATTTCCATAATGCATTGGTAAGTATCTCAAGCTCAACTACAACAATTAATAATAAAATTATTATAAAAAATTATAAAATAAGCTCAAGTGTGTAAATATAAGTCATAAAACATGTTAAATATTGACTTATCAATCATGCATGCCCAAATATGACATTGGACAATATATGGGAAATGTGACCTTAACTCTAATCGCATCTATCATGACTATAAGGACAATGTTAGGATTATCCATAGTGATTATCACTAAGATAACATTTCCTCTAAACATGATGGTTTAATTAACATTATTATAATCCCATCTCTCGGCCCCCATAGAAAAGGCCATACATTTATTAGGGATGATAAATGGTTAATGAATAAAAAGAAGTAAACAATCAATAATCAAGCATATCAAGGCACTAAAACAGGTGAAGATGAGATTGTTGATGGGGAGTGTAGCATTTTATGCTCGCAAGGTTTGAAAAGAGATTCGTCGCAAACTTTGAAGTTAAGAGGATCAATGTGCGATTTCTTTTTATATTGGTTGATAATGGAGCATCTCACAATTTCATTTCTTGAAGATTGGTGGAGGCCATGGGATGGGATCGTGAGGACACTCCTAACATGAAGATCTTAATGGGTGATGGATGTAAGACAGAGACGTATGGTATGTGCAGAGGAATTAAGATGGAGGTGCAAAAGAGTGAATTCATTATCAATGCTTACCTGTTTGATTTGGAGGATATTAACATGATATTAGGCATTACTTGGTTGACATCATTATCAAGAGAACTAGATTTTTGCAGTAGTTCACATGTTGTTAGAGGATCTCAGAAGAATAATAAAAGGGGTTTTGATGTCCACAGAAATACAACATGGTAATTCACAAAGGTTGATGAGGAGAGATTTGACCAAGTCCCAATTGTTGGCTTTACAAGAATTACTAGGGAAATTTGAAGGAGTTTCTGGGGAGCCTAAGGGTTTGCCTCTTGTTCGCAGTAATGAGCATGCAATTAATTTGATTCATGGACAGGGACCAATCAATGTACGTCCCTACCATTGCGAGTTGATGGAAAATGGTCATATTAGGCACGGTCAGAGTACTTGTTCCAGTCTAATAATACTAGTAAAAAAGAAAGATAACATTTGAAGAATGTGTGTGGACTATCAAGCATTGGACAAGAAAACAAAACTTGACAAATTTCCAATACTAGTCGTTGAAGAACTACTAGATGAATTGCAAGGGACCAAATGTTTCTCTAAATTAGACTTGACAGGCTATCAATAGGTGCGCATAAAAGTGGAGGATATTCCTAATACTACATTGTGGATCCATGCCTTTCATTATGAGTACTTAGTAATGCTTTTTGGGTTAATGAATGCCCTTCCACTTTCTAGTCACTAATGAATTAGGTATTTCGTGAATTATTGAAGAAATGCGTTCTTTTGTTCTTTGATGATATATTAATTTATAGTACTGATTGAGATACATTTTGAGACATTTGGAAGAAGTTTTTGGTATTCTAAAATTGTAGCAATTGTTTGCTAATAGGAAAAATTGCTAGTTTGGCCAGACAAACATTGCATACTTGGGACATATTTATTTTCAAGAAGTGATTGTAGATTTAGAAAAAATAATAGTGTTTTGTAGTGGCTAGTCCCCAAATTCGTAAAAGGTGTATATGGATTTTAGGACTGACAAGGTACTACCAGAAATTCATTCAAAACTATAGGAAAGTTGCTAGACCCCTAATTGTGTTGACAAAGAAAAATAGATTCTGTTGGAATGAATACTTAGGACATATCATTTATTTTCAAGGAGTGACCGTAGATCCATAAAAAATCAATAGTGTTTTACAGTGGCTAGTTCTCAAATCAGTAAAAGGTGTATATGGATTTTTGGGACTGACAAAGTACTACCAGAAATTCATTCAAAACTATAGGAAAGTTGCAAGACTCCTGATTCAGTTGACAAAGAAAAATGGATTCTGTTGGAATGAAAAGGCCCGAAAAGCTTCTGAAGAATTAAAGGTAAGAGTAACTACAACTCTGATATTGACTTTGCCAAACTTTAAGAAAGAGTTTGAAGTGGTGTGTGACACTTTGGGCACTGGAATTGGAGCTATTCTTATGCAAGAGAAAAAATCTATTGCATATTACAGCAAAGCTCTGA